TGATTCGGTATCAGGAGCTAAATGCTTATATGGACGACTTGTGGGGTGTAGGTTCAGCTTTTGATTTAGTTCAATTTAAAGGTCACATTGTACCTTTGAATCAGGCCAAATTTCTTGAGCTTTTTGACTATATCAATATTCCTTGGGCCTGGGGCAAGCAAGTTTGGGGTACTGAGTTGGATATCATTGGACATTCTATTAACTGTGATACCCTCTCTATCTCTCTTCCTTCAGACAAACGCCTTGCACTCATCGACGCCCTTCAAACCTTCATAATCCCCTCATCTCAACCTCTTGTGGCTTGGCAACGCATCACAGGATGGGCCAATTGGGCTGTTAATATGTTCCCCTTAGGCATGTGGGCTATTCAGTCTTCTTGGGAAAAGATAGCCAGAAAATCTCTTTGTAACGCTTTAGTCCCTTGCAATAAGGCTGTCACAGAGGATCTCACTTGGCTAGCCGGCTTGCTGAAGGCCTGGTCAGGCCGGAAAATCCTCAAGAACATCTTTTGGAACCTTCAACTGGCTGACATGACCTTCATAGTTGACGTGTGCCCTACGGGCATCGGCCTTTGCTGTCCTAAGCTCAATTCAGCTTGGAGCGAGAAATTTCCGCCTCCTTCTCGCGATAACTTCCGGGCTGAGTTGTTGGCGGTTGTAACAGCTATTGACATTGCCTCGCCAAGCGCATTGTGATTTTCTCACACAACCAATTGGTGGTTGCTTTGTTTAGTTCTCACAAACCAATTGGCTCCGCTTGACTCTTATTCAGGCCCGCGGTCTCTGTCATGCTCAAACAAAATCTTGATGTCAAAGTGAGACACGTGGCAGGCAATGACAACACCATTGCCAATGACCTTTCTCGCAACCGGATTTCAGAAGTTAAAGGTTACATCCCTGCAATTAATCACTTCTTCCTTCCTGACACTGAACCTTCTTTTGATGGTGGCATCAAACCTCACTATAACTCCTCCTGACAAGATGCCAGTGATTCGACGCTCAACGACAGTAGCCAAGCAGACGCCTCTCTCTTTCTTTGAAAGAGAGGCTCTCAATCAGTTCCACATTTCTAAACACCTTGAGCCTTCAACCATCCTCAAGTATAAATCTGCCACTCGACACTTTCTAAAATTTTGTCAAGATCATACTTTGGAACCCGTCCCTTTGGAATTCAATCTTGCTCACTTTGTTTTGGTGACTTGTTTAGATTTATCACCGGGCACCGCCAACAAGTACCTCACCGGCATTGTTTTTTGTCTCCGAGACCAATTTCCCTTTGTCGTTGCTGCTTGTGCCTCCCAACACGTCCAACTTTCGGTTCGTGGCTGCCAAAACCTTTTGTCCGTTCCAGTTGTTCGCACTAAACCTTTCACCTTACTCGATGTACATCTTTGCGCCAAAACTTTCTTGTCCTCCTTTGACAATCAACTCTTCAATACCATTATCGCCCTTGGATTTTCAGGCCTCCACCGCCTCAGTGAGTTAACCAATAGCAATTGCGTTGCTCTTTGAAATTTCCAACAAACCATCAAAAGATCTTCTCTTTTGATCTCCAGCTGTGAAACAGCCGCAACTTACACCTTGCCTTACCACAAAGCCCACAAGCTGTATCTCAGTTCCTCCATCGTCAGCCTTAATAGGACTGATGATCCAACTCGTCCTATCAAGACTATCATCTCCTATACTCTCAACAGAGATCGCCGGTTTTGTAGCTCTCCCTTCTGGCTCTTGCGTGCCAATGGCTTGGTCCCTAAGCGTACTTGGTTCATGACTAGGCTTAATTCTATCTTCAAAGGGTCTTGTACCGGCCATTCTCTGGGTACTGGTGGTGCCACTGCCCTTGCTCAGGCCGGGATGCCTATGGAAACGATTCAGTGTATCAGGAGGTGGTCTTCTGAAGCTTACCAAACATACATTTGCAATCACCCCCTCATGAATTTATTTGCCTCTTGTCAAAACCCAATCACTTCTGGCAACACAGCCACAGTTACTTTACTATTTTCAGTAAAGTAACAGTATCGTAACTTATTTTGAGTATAGTAACTGCGATACTTGGTATCGGTTTGGGCGATACAGTACTCACACGGCCACGGAACAGTATCGTGCTTATCGATACGGTATTGGGTAAAGTACCGGGAGACCCAATACTTTACTGAAAACTCCGACCGGCAGTATCGAGTAACTGTCAGTATTTTGACAGTATCGATTGATATCAAAGCGGACATTGACATTGATATCCTCATGGCCAAACATCAATTTCACACGCCGACCGGACCTTATCAACATGAACATGATCTTCATTACGATTCAACACATCCACTTATCCCTCCAACACTATCCCAGCTTCTTTTCCCAGGATTTCTCATTCAAGTTCATCACGAGTTCACCAATGCCATGATCACTTGGCCCTCTTTCTTAGCTCCTTACGTAGGTCAGATGACAGATATGGCATCTGACACAACAAACGATGAGGTATGTTCCCTCTTATCAAGGCAAGAACTAAGATTACAAACGTGAAGGTCCCCTTTTCACTCGATTTCTATCTCTTCTTCCCTTTTTTGGTTTTTACTCTTTCTATCTCTATTTCATCGTTCAAAGTGTCTTTCGGTCAATATGTCGCCAATTTCCCGTCAAATCAGTTCATCTCGTGTTCCAGCTTCATCTCCTTCACGTTTATCCCCATCGGTTGCTCCACGTCGAAGCACTCAAACTACACCTGTCCGTCTTCCATCTTGGTCAATGGTTGTGATTCCCTCAGACTCTCGTAAATCGGTCCAGTCCCATAGCGAGAATCCGATGGCGTCTGAGTCTGAACAGTCAGTTCTTCAAGTTGATAGACTCACCAAGAAAGGCAAACACAAACGTGTTCGCAACGACTCCGAGACTGAATACGAAGAGCAGCCAGAATCAGATGCCTCAGCCTCAGGCTTGGTTCAACTTATAGTACAAAAGAAGGCATCAGTTAAACCTCGAGCAAAACAGTCAGCAAAGCAATCAAAATCAGCCAAGCCTCGGTCTAGCACCTCAAAAAGAGTTAAGAAGTCAATGGTTTCACTTAAAGATTATCAACCTGAGAATCGAGTATGTCCCATTTCTCTTATCAGTCAAGTTTGATCAAGTCACCTCCAGGATTTTCGTTTTTTTCTGACCAATCTCGTTGTTTGTGTGACAGTCACAGAGTTCACCATGTGTTTTGAAACGTAAAAAGGTTGAGGTGAATTTAACACAAGACTCGGAAGATGAACATGCTAAAGTAAAATCGAAAATCGATCGTGAGGACAAGAAGCTTTATGACAGCATTAAGGACTATTTCAAAGCTGCTCAGCAAGGAAGTCGAGATGTAAGCAAACTATTTATCTTGTCTTTA